AGACCTCAGTTCAAAATGTCCTTTTTATTGGAATCAAAAAAATCAACGAAAAGAAGTTGCCAGAGTTCAAAACTTTTTTTTTAATCATGCAGCTTTCGCAGGTCAAACACCAAGTTATAATACAATCTGATCACGATCTCGATACCTAGAGCCTAGACTCGACCCAACAGGTCACCTAGACCCAACAGGTAGCAGCCACCTAGTTTTCGCCGAATTTTGGGAGGACCAAAACGACTTTCCTGCCCAAGTAGCTGGGAGGAGACGTTCACTACAGCACCTCCAAGCTTGTGCTGCACGCGTCCTTGCGCCCAAATCTGTGCCAAACGCAAAGGAGCTGCCACATTCACGTCGAAGCAACGTTGAACTTCTGCTGGATCCGTCCCTGAGAGTGTCACAGCTACTATAGAGCACACACACAATCACCCACATGCGTTGGTAGTCTTGACAGAAGCAAGGTAAGAGCAAGGTGTGCAAGAATTTTTCGTCAAGAGCTGTTCGTACAAGTTCTACAGAGTGATTTGACTCTTGACACATCAAATGACATGGTTACCAGCAAGCAGGGTTCGAATTTACGCGGAAACCACTCTCTCCACCGAGTCACCCTCCAGCAGGTCGGTGAAGAGGCCCACCCCTGCATTGTTGACCAGACCCCGTAGGCCTCTCCACTTGGCAAGGATCGTGAGGATTTCGTGACGATTTGCATATATCTGCAGCATTCTGCAGCATTCTGCAGCATGTTTCCTCCCTACAATTTAACTTACAAGGCTCGTGTAGCAAAAACTCAAAGAAGCTAGAAGCCAATCCATTGTATTCAGACACTGCACGAATACCGTATGCACTGCAGGACTCAAATTCATCAGCATGAAATTCTGAGTCGCTCCACTGTCTTTCTGAATTTCACCCAAAACATCAAAGTCAAGTTATGTTTTTTGACAAATACCTTGCCTTCACTTCCCGCCAACTTGACGCCCTCTTGGATCAAAGTCTTGCGGAACTCGTCGTCCGTCAAGTCACCCAAAGGCGCTGCAACAATCAACTCTGAGTGCCCAGTGAGGGTCTTAATGCCCTCTGCATTGGCTTTCACATCCGTTACCTGGGGCCCAGATGATCGGCGGCCCTGACTACCCTGACCACATATATAGATCCCCTAGGAGAATATTTGATGCGGGATCTTTGCCGAGAACAAGAAAACTTGCTCACACTGAAAAGACCGAAGTTGAATTTTCCATCAATCTCTACTTCTGCAAATTTGACTTCCATGCCCCATACATGCGATTCCTATTAGAAGGGCAACTTGGCATCAACTGCGATCTCCGTGGGTTGCAGCTGTTTTTTTTTCAGAAGGGGACACCCTGGGAGTGCGGTTTTTCACTGCATTCTGCAACCACTGACACTGCACATCTTTGCAGCCACTGCATCTGCGATGATTCTCTCACTGCTTTGCAACCATTGACAATTTCTGATTGATTTTTTGTGCAATGGCTAAACAAAACCAAGATCAAAAAAAAAGAAATCAATAAAAAAACGGTTGATAAAATGACAAGACCCAACTCTCTGCCACTACTCCCCCCTTGGGGTGTGCAATCTTGTTTTTTTCCGATGTTTTTTTTTTGTTTTTTGGTTTCTTGTTTTTTTTTGTTTTTTTGGTTTCTTGGTTTCTTGTTTTCTGGTTCGTTGTTGATTTTTTGTGCAATGGCTAAACAAAACCAAGATCCAAAAAAAAACAAGAAACCATAAAAAAAAAACGTTTGAAAAAAATGACAAGACCCAACTCTCTACCACTACTCCCCCCTTGGGGTGTGCAATCTTGTTTTTTTCCGATTTTTTTGTTTTTTTTGTTTTTTGGTTTCTTGTTTTTTTTTTGTTTTTTTGGTTTCTTGGTTTCTTGTTTTCTGGTTCGTTGCTGATTTTTTGTGCAATGGCTAAACAAAACCAAGATCCAAAAAAAAACAAGAAACCACAAAAAAACGTTTGAAAAAATGACAAGACCCAACTCTCTGCCACTACTCCCCCCCTTGGGGTGTGCAATCTTGTTTTTTTTCCGATTTTTTTGTTTTTTTTGTTTTTTGGTTTCTTGTTTTTTTTTGTTTTTTTGGTTTCTTGGTTTCTTGTTTTCTGGTTCGTTGTTGATTTTTTGTGCAATGGCTAAACAAAACCAAGATCCAAAAAAAAAACAAGAAGCCACAAAAAAACGTTTGAAAAAATGACAAGACCCAACTCTCTGCCACTACTCCCCCCCTTGGGGTGTGCAATCTTGTTTTTTTCCGATTATGTTTGTTTTTTTTGTTTTTTGGTTTCTTGTCTTTTTTTGTTTTTTTGGTTTCTTGGTTTCTTGTTTTCTGGTTCGTTGTTGATTTTTTTTGTGCAATGGCTAAACAAAACCAAGATCCAAAAAAAAACAAGAGACCACGAAAAAACGTTTGAAAAAATGACAAGACCCAACTCTCTGCCACTACTCCCCCCCTTGGGGTGTGCAATCTTGTTATTTTTCCGATTTTTTTTTGCCGTTTTTTTTTTTGTTTCTTATTTGTTTTTTGTTTTTTTGGTTTCTTGGTTTCTTGTTTTCTGGTTCGTTGTTGATTTTTTGTGCAATGGCTAAACAAAACCAAGATCCAAAAAAAAAACAAGAAGCCACAAAAAAACGTTTGAAAAAATGACAAGACCCAACTCTCTGCCACTACTCCCCCCCTTGGGGTGTGCAATCTTGTTTTTTTCCGATTATGTTTGTTTTTTTTGTTTTTTGGTTTCTTGTCTTTTTTTGTTTTTTTGGTTTCTTGGTTTCTTGTTTTCTGGTTCGTTGTTGATTTTTTTTGTGCAATGGCTAAACAAAACCAAGATCCAAAAAAAGACAAGAAACCACAAAAAACCATTTGAAAAAATGACAAGACCCAACTCTCTGCCACTACTCCCCCCCTTGGGGTGTGCAATCTTGTTTTTTTTCCGATTTTTTTTTGCCATTTTTTGTTTTTTGGTTTCTTGTTTTCTGGTTCGTTGTTGATTTTTTGTGCAATGGCTAAACAAAACCAAGATCCAAAAAAAACAAGAAACCACAAAAAAACGTTTGAAAAAATGACAAGACCCAACTCTCTGCCACTACTCCCCTCCCCTTGGCGTGTGCAATCTTGCTTTTTTGGTTGTTTTGTTTTTTTGTTTTTTTTTTGTTTTTTCGTTGTTTGGTTTCTTGGTTTTTTAGTTTGTTGGTTTCTTGCTTTTTTTTAGTTTTTTGGTTTCTTGGTTTCTTGTTTTCTGGTTTGTTGTTGGTTTTTGAAGGGCTAGCAAAACAACACAAAAGTGAAGGACCTAGACCTCACTCTTTGCCAGTTCTCCCACTTCAGGGGTTGCAAACTTGCTTTTGGTTGATTTTATTGGCTGCTTTGGGCCTGTGATTCCATTAGAAAACCATGTAAAAAACCATGGCTGAATGCAGGTATTACTGGAGGAAGCTTGGGGGGCTTGGGACACAGATTAGGCAATTTTGTCTGTTTATGTAATTTCAAAAAACGGTGTTGAACAAATGCAAAAACATAGGCAGCCAATGAATGTGTAGAACTGATTTTGCTATTGACATTGTTGGCTCAAACCCTTGAGTTAACACATGTTCAAACACTTTGAAAGATTCCCTTGAAAAGGAATGATGCATCTCTTTGAAGTGAGTGCTCCCTTCAACAAGCATTTCTTTTAAAATGGCAGAGCATCCCATTGAATTAGGTCATGTCTTAGTCTACTTCTATGTCAAACATGAACCCTCTTGCACATACAATGCCCATTTTTCACAATATATTTTCTTAAATGAAGAACACATGGTACATGTAAGCACGTAAAATATGTCCGTCACAATTGCACATCATTTTTCTGAATGCATAATGTGATATTCTCCCGAGACAACGAACCATATTTTGGGAATAACACCCTTTGTTGTAGGCAGCTCTCCTCCTGAAAAATGTTGTAATTTGAAGAATGTGCATCTTTAAATCTTAAGAGAATCAAACATTGTTTGAACAGATGGTATACTGTATGCACGTAGCACTCTTTTGAAAGAGTATGGTCGTCCTTGAAGAATCTGTTGTTGAATTTGTGCAACACCCCCTTGGAGTGAGATATTTGATTAAACGAAAACATTGTTGTTGGATTGTATTGAAAACATTTCTAGTTGTCTAAATGAAGGCTGGGTTGATCTGACCAAGGGGAAGAGTCCACATGTGAAAGAAGAGAAATCCAGTTTTCCAAGAAGGCTGCTTCTTCACAGGAATATTTTTTGCCATACAGGACAATACTCTGTTGTTCAGTGGTAAGAAGCGAAAGAGTATTCTTTATAAAGCAGTGCTCACAGTTTCAAACATGTTGCACTTTTGAAAGGGATGCTCTATGTCAATAATACTGCATATATCATGCAGAAATATTGACTTTTCGAAACAGCCAGATAAAAGGGGCACTACTCATTTGAAAGGAGGGTTAGACATCTGGAAATGCGCACTGCGCTCCTTCAAAGGGCTGGTGCAACTTTTGAAGGAATACTTCATATTTTGTTTGGATATTGCCCGTGCAAAAACACACGGCACTGCCCCAAAGGAAGATTACTCTTATTCAGAAGGGTATGTTTGCTTTCTAATACTGCATTTGTTGGCAGGTATGGGAATGTTGTAATAATGTTGAAGTTATCTAGCATATTCTGCAGAAATTGTGCTTTGTTGAAGGGACACTGTAGTAGCATTTTTCTAAGGTAGTGAACACCTGGAAACTTCTTCAAGCAATACATGCTCTCTAGTGGACATGAACACAGCCTCATCTGTAGCTTAAGCTTTAATGTGATTACAGTTTTGAAAAAAAAAACAATAAAAAGTGCACTCCCACAGCGTCCTGCTCTCTTTTTTTGCGGGATATCGATATGACGACCACCACCACCACCATCATACCACAGCCACAACAGCAACAACAACAACAACAGCAACAGCAACAGCAACAGCAACAGCAACAACAGCAGCAACAACAACCACAACCACAACGAGAACGATGACAATGACGACAACGACAACAACACCAACAACACCAACAACACCAACAACACCAACAACACCAACAACACCAACAACACCAACAACACCAACAACACCAACAACACCAACAACACCAACAACACCAACACCACCAACACCACCAACACCACCACCACCACCACCAACAACAACAACAACAACCACCACAACCACAACCACAACCACAACCACAACCACCACCGCAACCACAACCACCACCACCGCCGCCACGACCACCACCACCACCACCACAACCACAACCACAACGCACCACACAACCACAAACCACAAACCAACCACTACAACAACTTCCACTACTTACTAGCTACTACTATACTACCACAACACACACCAACCAACTAACAACAACAAGCAACACCAACAACAACAACAACACCAAAAAAAAACCTAAAAAAACATCACCATCATCATCATAATCAACATCCAAAAAACAACAACGACTACTATTACTACTACAACGACGACCACATTGACCACGACCACGACGACCACGACGACCACGACGACCACGACGACCACGACGACCACGACGATCATGACCAATGTCAACAACAAAGACAAGAACCATAGCCAGACGGCAACTGCCAGAACAAGAATCAATGGCCAGGTACCTAAATTGGAGGTACCTACCATGTATGAGGCCTATGTAAGTAACGGGATGTCCCCACAAAATATGGCTTTATATGGTACAGTACCTCCATTTAGGATCCTGAATTTCCCATTGAAAGAACAAGAACCACAACGATAACGGCAAATCCAAACAGCTATGGTTAGGAAAATCTTGGGCCTGCAAACATTGGAAATTCCAAAATAATTATTTTGTCATTTTTTTTGCATTTTTGTTGCTTTTTTTTTGCATTTGGGTTTGTCATTTTGGATTTGTGTTGTCATTTGTTTGTCATTTTTTTGTCATTTCTTTGTCATTTCTGTGTCATTTTTTTGTCATTTGTTTGTCATTTTATTGTCATTTTATTGTCATTTTGGGAACGGGAAGATGGAGAAAAAACATTGTTTAAAAATGACTACCATGACAGACCTTTTGTTATCTCGTGGCAGCACCAAATACAAGGAACAAGTGGAGAAACTCTTGGAAAGCCAGCCGGCGGTGAAGAAGGATAGGGCAGGGGAGCTTGCCCTGGGGAATTCGTTTTTGGGCCTGCCTGGACGAGGAGTTGTCTCCCGGCTCGGGGTGCAGGGCCGGCTCAAAAACCGGGTGGGGGGGCGGGGCCGGGGGGAAATGGCCCGGGGGGGCGGCTCAGGCCCGAGAAGCGGGGCCGACCTGGAAACTCCAAAAACGCAACTTTACCAGCACGCGAGTCATTTTTTTCGCATTTTTTTTGCATTTTTTTCGCATTTTTTTGGCATTTTTTTCGCATTTTTTTTGCATTTTTTTTGCATTTCCCAGACTAGGAGTCATTTTTTCTGCATTTTTTTTGCATTTCCCAGACTGGGAGTCATTTTTTTGCATTTTTTTTGCATTTCCCAAACCGGGAGTCATTTTTTGCAATTTTTTGCATTTCCTAGACCGGGTTTGCCACCTTCACCGCTTGCCTGATCCTTATGAGAAAACGACAAGAAAATGAACAATGCTAGAAAGTAGAAAACGACAAGAAAACGACAAAAAATGACAAGAAAATGACAAAAAAATGACTTAACAAATGACAAAAAAATGACTTAACAAATGACAAAAAAATGACAAAAAAATGACACCACAAAACAGGAATGACAAAAAAATGCAAAACCAAATGACAAAAAATGACAAAAATAAATAACCAACAACCCTCAGAGTTTGCTGGTAAGATTTTCATAAAGCTATGGCCACTGCAATGAAACCAAACACATGTGTTCCCTGCATCAAGAATCCACCACCTTGGCACCGCACTTCGCCAAGTACTCAGCAATTGCCATCCCAATACCACGAGCAGCACCAGTGACCAGAACTGCTGTGCCCGGAAGCGCGGACGAAGCAGTATCAGCCATTTTTGGAGGACTAAACGCGTTCAACTAAATGGGTTTTCACTTTGTGTTTGGCAGAAGCAGCTACAGCATGCAATGGCTATAGTTGGCAGGCACCAAGGCACCCCTCTTGTGGATACAAGGCTTTGAATGCAACTGACAAACAAATAAAAAAACAACCTGCAAAATCGAACGACTCCACTATGCACAGGATCCTGGATATCCACGATGTTTCCTTGACTTCTGGAAAGGGCTCTGGCCGACTGGCAATGCAAAGCCATCAGTGTAGAAACACAAATGCCAATCCATTAGCAGCCAAGCGCGAGTTCCAAGCATTCCAAGCCACTGCAATCACCATAACGCTGACCTGCACTCGAACACGTGAGTGAAGATAACTTCTTTTCACCTTGCCAGGATGTTGATTCAAGCTTCGTGTCGAAGAACACACCGACGTCATATGTGCAAGATTGCATGTGAGAGCTGAAATCGCCAAGTGCGGACCTTCTCTGGCAAAGGACAATCTGAATGAAGTTCTGTACACACAGGACTTTCAAGAACAACAGAAAGCTCAGTTGCTATGTGCTGCCAGCTTCTGTACTTGCCAGCGCATCTCAATTTTAGTGGAAACATATTGTCTTCAAGTAGCCAACTCCATAGAGCTTTCACCATCTTTTGCTTAGTTCAACTTCAACATGCATTGTACTGCTTCACTCAGTTCAAAAAATGCTGCAGTGCAAGTTCTCTTTGCAAATACAACCAATTTCAACCAATCATGTTGTACGATTTTACACATGGAATTGTCTTTTCTGCTCCCAGCAAGCCAAAATCAAGTGGTTGTCCAAGCCCATTCTGCATTCCAACCTACCCAATAAAAGGTCCATCATGATATATGATATACTGTATAAGCTGTATATGGGATTCGCAAACGGAAGTTGCTAGCTTTGTGCATATATGGCTAAAGACGCCAGAATTGCAATCGATTCGAAGCACATTTCAGAGTTGTGAGTGTTGCAACTATCTCAGGGTTGGTCAAAACAGCACCTGTCAATGGCGCAAGTTCTAGCTGCAACCCTTGGAACATCCCGGTTATCCCTCTTCAATTTAACAAGAACGCTCTGCAAGTGATCGCCGTCCTCGTCAATCTCAGATCCATAAACACATGTTCACATACGGTATGGGCAGTAGGCTCCAAACAAACAAGAGGCCAGGCAAACCACTAAGGATTGATGTCGTGGAAGTGAATTGGGTCGGCTTTACGCCCGTGTCAGCATTGCAAACTATTCACCTGCAACTTGAGCCCTTGTCGAAACCGGCTTGATCTAGCCGGAATCTGTATTTTGACGCTGCGATGTATAACTTGAATCTCTTTCATCCAGCCGAGACGTTGCTGGGCGTCCCAAACACCAGCAGCAACCATCCATGGTGGAGCCCCAGGCGGAATACGGCCCTGCGAGCCATGACAATGTTGACAATATTGACATTATATTGACTATGTCACAATGGCAGTTCAAAGGCTTTGGTAAGGCTGGATATGTAGAGAATGTAGAGATGAATCATCAGAGATGAAGATAACAGCCATCCTCGTGCTACGCGCATCACTCATTTCAGCCACATTCTGAGCGTTCGATTCGATTCATCCAAATATGGAGATACAGACTACTGAACTCAATTCGCTTTGTATCATTTTGAAAATCCTTTTATTCTTTAGTATCATCAGCCAAAAAGGAAGCAAAAACGCCCCCAAAGTTAACACAAAGGGCCTTGCAGAGACAACAGCCTGCACCCGTGAGCTCTATGGCAATGACCAGCAAATACACCTAGCTTCAAGAAGCAGTCCAAAGCCGGGAACGGTCAAGATTATTCAGGAATAGGACCGCATTCCGCGGAACAATTCTTGCTCCGTCGGTTGTCACATTTTTTTTAGGTATTAAAAGGTCCGAGGAACACTGCCTCCAGAAAATGTAGCTCAAGCAACATGTGTTTGTTCTGTCTCTTGAAAATACCTGCATTCTAGTAAACGAAAGTTTCAGGTGTGTAAGCAAAACTACAAGCAAAACTTCAGGAAGCTGTACCGCAGGGTCGAAGTTTCAGTCTTCACTACTCAATTGGATCAAGCAACATGTTCAAAACTCTGGCCGCCATGCAGGACGTCCAATTTGCTGATCTGTCAATTCTTTCGATCTGACTCAACATGTTACGGGCTGACCCATAAGATTTTTTCAATGTTTGCTGTTGAACCTAACATGGAGCAACCAGATCAAATACCCTGCACTCCACTCATCCAGAGATGATCATGGATAGGAAACATGTCTGCCATTGCTTTATCAACTCACTCATAGGGTATGTATTGTGTATATACATAATATATATATATATATTAAATACGTTGCTATTCCTTGCACAGTTTGAAAACACGAAAACAAAAAACTACAAGGCAAGAATAAAACATGAAGTTTGGAAGGGCTGTGATACTCTCCATAAGTCAGCTGAAGCCGACGCCTCCATCTTCTTGGGAGTCAACCTAAGTTCTAAGGGGCGCCGCGATCTTGGTTTGACAAAATATAATGTATAATGCATAATGTACTATATTATATTATATTATATTGTATTGTATTATACAATATTATATTATAATATAATATAATATAATATGATATAATACAAAGTACAATATAAAATAATATTGAAAATATAATATAATAAAAAATATAAAATGTAAAATAAATATAATATAGAATATAATACAAAATAATATAAAATCAAAATAAAATCAAAAAATGTACAAAAAAATAATAACAAATATAATTTAAAATAAAATATTTAATATTAAGAAAAATAAAAAAATGTTATATAAAAAATATAATATGTTTATATATATATTATTATTGAAAAATATATACTAATTTAAATATTATATATATCATATAATATAATATATATATATAATGAAATATATATTATAATATATGAAATAATATATAATAATAAATATATAAATATATAATAATATATATAAATATATTAATATTTATATATATATATATTAAATATAATATATATGTAATATATATATACAATATATTTTTAAAAAAACATAAGATAATATATATTATACTTAAATATTGATGGGATTATATGGGCGCGGCACACCTTTTCCTACTCTCGGGCCTCATTCTGAGGGTATGTGAAGTTCATCACTCCTCCTCGTGCTACACTCGGTTTTCGAGTGTTGCACGCCCATTGCACCAAACAAGGTAGTGGAGCCTGGGTTATTCAATGATCTCTTGTAACTTTGATGGCTCTCGTTCCACTAACCCCATGTTGGCACAATGTTTCTCCAAAAGTTTCGCATCAGTGTGTTTTGTTAACACATCTGAGCAATTGTGGCTCGTGTGAACCTTCTTCACACAAACCGCTCAGCTGCAACCACTTGTTGCCACCAAAGAAAGCGCGTCATCACATGGCGCTGCTTCCCAAGCCCACGGCTCGCGAAGCTCTTTGCACATGTTGAATCGGAGAGGATCACCAGGCCGACCTTGATGCCGATGTCGAGGAAGTAGGCCTGCAACCCTAGCCCGTGTGAAGCACCATGGACCAGAGTGTAAAACTCCGACTCTGAGACGTTGAGTCCCACCACACTCTGCGAATTGCTCGAAGCCTTGATCATGTGGGTTCCAAAAGTCTGAACCATTCCAGTCGTAGACTTTCGGTCTGTGCGACTTCCGGCGAAGTCTGAGTCGACATAGATCTGAAGTGCATCTGGCATTGATTGCTGACGAAAAACCAAGCTCTTGTCCGGCTTGTAGATGAGGAACCTCGCAAGCCTCTTCAAAAGTTCCCAATGTCCAAGGCGAGGTGAAGACATCCCCTGCGCCAACCTCTTGACCGTCTCCGCGATGTCTGCTCTCTCCTGCGAGAGGAAACTGGCTCTCATCACCTGACCTGTATCGGCTAGCATCCGCAGCACTAAGCAACGGAGAACTCTTCAAAGAATCAGCTGAAGCATCTGTCTGTCGAACGGAAGGTGTGGTGACACCGTTCGACCCATCTAACTTCATCCCAACTGCCTCCACATGACGACGATCTGGTTCGATTTGGACAAAGCGTCGTCCATCCTCAAAGCCCAAAGTGACTATTCGATTCAGCACTGTTGCCTCACGGACACACCCATCTGTGAATCCAAGGCAGTTTGACTCCCGCATCTGGTACTTGGAACCCAGCAACTCCTTCATCTTGTCAATGGCTGCCACAGGCCCCAAAACATAGAAATCATCTCCATGAACTGCACCTCGAGAGAACTCTGCCTCGTTGAAGAACGAAGCCGGATTGGCCACTCCAACTTGGTATCCACCTTCTGCAAGTAGCTCTTGCCAATCTTTCATCCATGCATTGCTGGCATCTCGAAATCCATACATCCCACGGTTCAACCGACCAACGTAGACTTCTTCTCCGGGACCACGATCTTCTGCAGGAATCTCCACATAGAGCTCACGATGGCACTTCGGCATGAAATGTGCCCTGCTGATGTCGAACACCCCAATGCACATCTCGTGCCCACCACCGACATGTTGGGGAAGGTCGGTGACAAGAAGGCTGAACAGGGACTTGACAAGCTCCCATGGCGGGGTTGCACTGAACAACTCATGTGCCAAGAGTGATTCCTTGGTACGTGCCTTGAGCTCTTTTCCAACAATTCTACTCCTCAACTTCATTCGGGATCGATCTCCTTTATTGACATCGACCCAGCGCACAGGAAGCACAGTCTTTCCCCTTTGTTGAGCCACTGACCTCGGCACTTTGGTGTAAAGGCCGATTTTGTTGATCCACTGTATTTCTTCCTGCCTTGCGTCTCTGACCAAGTTGGCTGGAAGCTCTTCACCACTGATGTCGTCGTAGTACTTCTCCAGCTCCTCGTCAACAGCTTGATGACTTTCTTCAGGAAATAGATGCTCCGTAGGATCAGGTCCGCTCGCATACATCTCTATGGAGCTCAAAGATCCATCAGCTTTCATCTGCCGCCTCAAGCCCTCCAAGACCGAGACGACGAGCTCATCTGGGTATGCCTCTGCAAGTTTTGCCAGCCCGCCAATGAGTGCCACATGGCGGTGGATAGGACCTCCACGTCTATTGCGACAATGTTGATCCAGAACTGCTGCAATCTCCGGCGAGTTGGTCGCCCACTTGGTGTTCTTGTAGACCAGCCCGCTGCCTTTTCGCTTGGCATGGATGGACATGCCCCATGCACACGTCAGGTCAGCTACTGTGAAAACATCTGGTTCTTGTTGAAGACGTTGCATTTCCTCCTCATCCCAGCTGTCAGCACCAGCTGGATGCTCGTGCAAGAAGCACCTTTTCTTCTTGGTCTGCCTGCGGTACCTCTCAATGCACAGACTCAAATGGTTCTCGCCCTTCTGCCGCTTCTCCACATTCTCCTTGGTGTTGAGGTAGCTCCTGTTGATGTTCCTCAGAACTGTGAAGGGAGCGCAGTCA